GTATGGGAAAGTCAGATCTCTGGATATGGCATGATATGGAGATTTCCTAAAATAGTGAGTTGGGCATTTCCTAAAATACGGGTACCCAGTCATCATCCATTTATAGAAGCATTTTCCATTATAAACGATCCATTTGGGGGTACCCCCATTCCAGGAAACCCCCATATGGATTAAATATCATTCACCAAGGCCGGCCGGAACTTGGGTAATTCTTACCCCATCATTCCATTATTCCATCTTCAATTTCTTGGAACCAACAGCCAGATCCGGGCTCAGGCTGGAAGCTGGGATTGCGGTGGGCTTGTGGTGAAACCCCAATGATTTTTTTTCTGTATATTTTCATGGGAAAATGTTTAACCCTTGGATTGTCGGGTTTTCAGATTTTTCAGACATCGCCACAAGACTGAAAATCAAACATCTTGCCACTTGGATGGCACTCCCCACAAGACTCAGCCAGAGTCAAGGGCCCAGTCGTCCCTCGCTGTGTCTTCGATTGTCATCCCCAGGAGTGAAAAAATCAAAACCCTCCGGTGTCATCAAACGTGGCTAGCTGAAAAATCCCCAATGATGGATAAATTGATGTTTTTTTCGCGAAAAATCATGAATGGTAAATTGTCCATTGCCATGTTTCATTACCAGAGGGTACCGTTCGCAGATCATTTTCCCGGCGTAACGAAACCTCCATAGCTTCCATAGCCACTTCGGGGACCACCAGGAAACAGCACCAGAATCCCATCTCTAAACATATCCCCATTGGATCCACTCTTATCCCATTCACATCTCATTTATATTCATCATCCATCCATTCTTGTTGGTTATTCATCCGAATCTTCCATGATTCTTCCTTATGATATATTCCCATTTATCATCCATTACTATATACCATCAAAAAAAATGTTGGTTATCAACCATTAGTCCCGGAAAAATCGAGAGCATGACAATTTTTAGGGGCCCCAAATTTTCACGTAAAAGAAGCATTGTTTGATAGTTTATGCTGTTTATGTTAATAGTCTTATCTGGTTGGTGGTTGAGCGAAGAGATTAGCGAAGAGTTGGCAAGGCGGAAGCCGGCAGTTGAGGTCCAGCAGTGCCCACTGCGCGCGGAAGTTGGCGAAGAGATTGGCGACGAGTTGGCAAGGCGGAAGTGGACGTGGAAGTTGATGCAGACATGGTCGAGGAGAAACTGGAGGAGGAGGAGGAAGAGGAGGAGGCGGAGGAGGAGGAGGAGAAGGAGGATGAGGAGAACAGCTCTGATAAAATCTAACAACCCTCACCTGGCAGGTGGGGAAATACAAATCTAGATGTAATTTCCTTTTTCTTTTCTGGTTCTTGTGTTTGATTTCTTCCCCCTCCTCCATGAGTTCAGAATCCTCCAAACTCCTTACAAGCCTTTCGGAGACTCAACATCTTGATTTGGAATCGAGGTTTTAATACATTGATTTGAAACCATCCGAAGAAAAAAAAGGTTCATCGAGAAAATTGTGTAGGACCTTTAGTTAAATATGTACAAAAAAACATAAAGTTTGAACATCTATTGCAAACCACTTTCCGCAAATACATAGGAATGCATGTTCATGTTTCACTATATTTCCCAAAACACTGTAAAAATGAGGCCCTCACAGGGTACCTTTCTCAAAAAAATAGAATCATCCCAAAAAAAACAGATCTAATATCATCCCCAAACCATCCCCAAACCAGATTTCCATGATCTGCCAGGTAGCACAGTTCTTGTGAAAGCAGTGGCCACATGGCAGTTTCACCACCTGCTTGGTGAGCACCACAGCGCCATCCTCGTTCCCGTCACCGACCTGCTGGGGCGGTGAGCCCATGTCCTCGTAGCAGATCGCACAGGGCTCCTCTTCGGCCACCTGGCAGGTCAGCGAGTTAGGCTAAACGGCTAAACCATGTTTTTGATGAATGGGAGTATACAGTACCCTCTGGTAAACATACACAGTTAGCTATTGAATAGCTGGCCCAGTCGAAATAGTGGATTTACCCATTAATTGCATGGTGGATCTTTCCATAGTTATGTGGCTGTTTACCAGAGGGTAACTCTTCAAGAATGGGGATATGAACGGAATCACCGTGTAACCAATCAGCCCAGCAACAATTGGATGGTCATGGTACCTCATCCCCGAACGCAACAGACAGTCTGTCTGTATCTTTTGATCAAACACGATTGGGGACCTTTTATTTTTGTGGAGTTACCTCATTATATACATATATATATATAACTGTTGCCATCTCGTAACTTGTGACATAGCTATGGAAGCCTGGCCCATTTTCTTTGATTTTTGTTTACCTAGCTAAACCCAGGTGATTTTCCATAGCAAGCTGTTAGATTACCAGAGGGTAAAGCCAAGAGCCAAGTATAAACCATGCTGAGTAGCCTCCGGTAAACGAGTACAGCTTGCTATTGAAGCCATGGCCCAGTCGAAACAGGTAGCCATGACTACCCTCTCAATGGATTGAATGGGAAACCATGGATTTTCCACATCTTTTTGGAGAAAGCCCAGGGTAAATATCATGAAATATTCCATTAACATTCCATTTATAGATGATGTTCATTGATTTTCCGTTCTTATCCATGATATTAACCCAATTAAATCATCATTAGATCACCATTTCTAGATGATGTTCCAGCATCATTCACCAAGCATTGGATCTTCCATGGCCGATGCTTTTTCGACGGCCACCTCGATGCAAACGTGAACACTCGCATTCACCTCCGCAGATTCCAAGGTTGGGGGAACATCAACATCTGGGTGGTGGAAAAATCATCATTTTTACCTACCATGATTCATGACATGACATGACATGACATGACATTGTCAATCATGATACGATATCATGGTATGAAAAACAACGGGGATTTTCCCAACGGAGAATCGTCGAAATTTTCCACAAAAAATACCTCCAAACCATCCCCTAGGACCATGGTGACCATGGTGAAGAATCCACCCAGACACCAGAAATTGGGATAGCCGGATAGGAAAAAAACCACTTGGCTTGATAGAAAATCCCCCCATTTAGTTCGATTTTCCCATTCATGATGGGCATAAATGTGTGTATATATGGCAGTGTGTACCCCTGGTGAACATCAAAATAGCTGGTAAATGGATGTTCATCCCACTAAAAATGGTATTAATAGGTATTGATCCATACCCATATATATATATATACATATATGATGTTCAATTGCCACGTTTGATCACGGAAGGTAATTCCCACAAACATCCATCATTTTCCTTGGTCAAATCTCCCTTCACCAATGAATTCCCATTTTGCATCACATTTTGCATCACGAGATGTCCATGGCGAGTCCCAGACACACCCAAGTCCCATGTTTCGCCCCTGCCTTCATGACCAATCGATGCTGACGTAGAACTGCTTTTTGCACTGCGTTCAAGTTCCGTGTCACCTGGAAATGGCGACCAAAACTGGCTCACAAAGGCTGGTACCCTTTTTAGCCCATTTTCGGATGCATGTATATATGAATATTGGAATATAATATTATATCATTGTATGTATAATAATGTAATAATACATAGTAATACAACATGGTACAATGTGTGTATAATATATATATAATATATAGTATTATATATATATAATATATACATAATTTTAACACACTAGTCTAAAGCTAGAGATGACATCAACCATGTCCGAGGAGTAGCAGCGCTGCAGCAGCTGATTGTCACAGTGGTTTTACGAGATGGACATGAACAACCAAAGCTCAAGCCCTACACCTGGTGGACCATGCCGCAAATCTATGCCCCATGATGGTGGAACACAATCATTGTATATCATATATGCTCTTCCGCGGGTCTTCCGCGAAGCAACTGGCAAACAAAGGTTCCGCGAGACCTTTCGCGGGGCTTCCGCCGCTGCAGTACCAGCTTCCGCGAAGGTATTGGAGTTGACAAGTTTAAGTAAACTCTTCTTGGGGGGTTTTGATCGCTGCTCAAATGGTCATTCATGACTTGGATGATAGCTAGGTGTACCCTTTTCTGCCTTGACGGAAACCTCGAGTTGACTTCGAGTGTGGACTCCCATGGAATTTCTGGATCCCATGGATCCCATGGATCCGGATCCCGGAGATCGGACCTTCATCTCAATGGACGAAGATTGTTTGATATGGTTTAACCTCGGAGATCGGAGAAAAACCCTGACGAAAAAATTGTTCTCCTGTCGTTTCCCCCCGATCAACGTAGACGTACCCCAATGAAAAGAGTCCAAATTGTCCAGTCGTTTGGTTTTTCTTTAGGGTCAAGTTGATTGTTAATTGATGCCCTTTGGAAAACAATTTAAAAAATCCAGGTCCAATTTCAGGGTGTCAGCGCCTAATATGATAAAAACCAGCTAATTTCGGGTTGTTTCTTTATTAGGGTCCGTCTTTTAAAATGGGAATGTTTGTTTTTTATCAAGGTTGTGATTTTAATATTGGGGGAAAGCTTCGAGATCCGATTCTTGGCAATATGTTTGTTGGATTTTAGTAAGAAATTTGATCGATTTGCGAATCGAAAATTTAGGTGCTTTAATTAAGGAGTTTATGAAATTATTAGGGTATATCTTCTCACCCTAATACTAAATACCCCTAACAATAAACACTGCTCCAGGTGTTTATCATTTGGGGGATGTAGTATTCGATAGTTTTACGGGGGGACTGACCCATGATGCTTAACCAACCCGCCAAGCCAGTCAATGTAACTGTGACTGATCAACATCTGCTACCTCAGATCGGGGGGTTTCCTAAGTCACGGAGGTACCCCCTATAGCCTATATATATAGCTGGATGGTTTATGATGGGAAAAAAAAATGATGATTTGGGGATACCCCCATGACTCAGGAAACCTCCAAATGGCAGTTGCCCTGCTTTTGTCACTAACCCAGGCAAGCAACATCTCATGTGATGTCGCGTGTCCATTCGCCCAGACAATGGCCTGTGGAGAAGCTTGACCAAGGACAGGCAGATGAAACCACTGATTTAACAGCTATGGAAAATCATCGTTTCTGGGTAAAGCATCTACCTCTGGATGCTTAGCCTTGCTGGCAATTTCTTAGACCTGGACAATTACTCATCAAAGTAGATGATGTCCGTATATGATTCCTATGATTACCAGAGGGGAAGCAACAAAATGCAAAAACGATGCCCGGCCTGTCCCACTTGAATTTGCTCCTCTGGATGTTCTTCGTTCCACTTCCCCACTCCAGAGAATGTGTCATTGTCCTTGGCAGCGGGGCCTTTCTAGGCAGGACAGCAGGGCCGGTCAACAACCAGAAACCTTGGGGGAAACCGCCAGTAAAAAGTGAAACGAAGCTGAGTACAAACTGGGCAACTCCCCAACGACATGGGTTGCTTCTGATCGCTAGAAACTCTATGAATTATCAACCAACCCAAAAAAACTCAGCGTCGGCAGGGTGCATTCACCCGAAATCACTTTAAACTTCTCAAGAGCATATTCTGTGCACAGAAAGACATAGAAAGACAGAAAGGATATACCTAAGAGTTAGACCTCTGAATCTGGAAAGTCATTTGCTTTCAGTGTTGTTCTATAACTCCCTGAAAGAAAACACATCGTTTCACATCTCAACAACGGCCGACGTCTCCAGCAGCCTAGGTTCCGTGTGACTGATGTGTGTAATGACTAGGCCTTGCCCATCTGGAAACATGGGACAATACGTGGCCACAAAGCCATACTTTTGCCCCTCCTGCGAAGAGCGGCCGGCTGTTTCTCAAGACCCGGGAAATCGGAAAAAATGGTGCGACCCCAAGGGATGAGGAAACACACCATTGAATTCCATGGTTTCTCATCATCTTTAATTTTTAAGAGTGAACATATTATAGTTTATTTGACCATATACATAACTACATATATATATAAGGTCATATAATATCATATAATGTCATATAATATCAGAAAATATCAGAAAATATAAAATAATATCACATAACATCATATAGTATCATATAATATCTTATAATGTCATATAATATCATATAATATCATAAAATATCATAAAAAATCATTTAACATCATAAAATATCATAAAATAAAATATTATATCATATAATATCATATAATATCATGTAATATAATATCATATCATATCATATAATATCATATAATATCATATGATATCATATAATATCATATAATTTCATATAATATCATAAAATATCATATAATATCAAATAATATCATATAATATCATATAATATCATATAATATCTAATATATTCTAATATAATATCATAGAATATCAAAGAATATCATATAATATCATATAATATCTATCTATCTATCTATCTATCTACCTACCTACCTACCTATCTCTCTGTCTATCTATTTATCTATCTATCTATCTAACTATCTATCTATCTGATCTATCTGCCCATCTATCTATCTATTCTATCTGCCCATCTATCTATCTATCGATCGATCTATCTTCCTTTCTATTCGTCTATCTATCTATCTATCTATCTATCTGATCTATCTGCCCATCTATCTATCTATTCTATCTGCCCATCTATCTATCTATCGATCGATCTATCTTCCTTTCTATTCGTCTATCTATCTATCTATCTATCTATCTTATCTTATCTTATCTATCTATCTATCTTATCTATCTATCTATCTTTTCTATCTATCTATCTTCCTTTCTTTCTTTCTACCCGTCTCCCTATCTATCTATCTATCTATCTATCTTATTATCTTATCTTATGTTATCTTATCGTCTGTATCTCTCTGTCTATCTCTCACTCACTCTCTCTCTCTCTCTCTATCTATCTATCTATCTAGCTAGCTAGCCAGCTAGCTAGCTATCTATCCATCTATCTATCTATCGATCGATCGATGTATCTATCTTATCTATCTTATCTATCTTACCCATCCTATCTATCTTATCTATCTTATCTATCTTATCTATCTTATCTATCCGATATGTCTTATCTATCTTATCTATCTTATCTATCTTATCTATCGTATCTATATTATCTATCGTATATACCGTATATATCGTTTCTATCTTATCTATCTTATCCTTATCTATTTTATCCTTATCTATCTTATCCTTATCTATCTTATCTATCTTATCTATCTTATCTATCTTATCTATCTTGTCTATCCTATCTATCTTGTCTATCTTATCTATCTCATCTATCTATTTTATATATCTATCTAGCTATAGTTCGATCTGTCTATCTATCTATTTATCTATCTATCTATCTCTATATCTATCTATCTATCTATCTATCTATCTATCTATAGATCTCTCTTTCTTTCTATCCGTCTCCCTATCTATCTATCTATCTATCTATCTATCTATCTATCTATCTTATCTATCTATCTATCTATCTATCTTTTCTATCTATCTATCTTCCTTTCTTTCTTTCTACCCGTCTCCCTATCTATCTATCTATCTATCTATCTTTCTATCCATCTATCTATCGATCTATCTTTCTTTCTATCTATCTATCTACCTATCTATCTATCTTACTTATCTATCGTATCTATCTTATCTATCTTGCCTATCTTATCTTATCGTATCTTATCTTATCTATCTATCTACCTACCCATCTATCTATCTATCGATCTATCTTTCTTTCTATGCGTCTATCTATCTATCTATCTATCTATCTATCTAGCTATCTATCCATCTATCCATCCATCCATCTACCCATCTGCCTCGCGGGCCAAGTGGACGGAAAACGTTCCATCCTCCACAACCAATCGGCTTGGCCGAAAACATCCTGGGCTGAAATGGGGTCCACATCCCCAGTGGTCACCATTTTTGGTCAGTGGTCACCATCAAAAGATGGCATGGTTGATTGCGTTACCAACATTAAAAGGTTAAGGGACAAAAAAAATCGCTGGTGAAGAATTTGCAGCCACTGTGTTTCTCAAATCGATGTTATGAGTTTTGAACATGTCACACACTTGTTGTCAGCGCTGCTGTTTTTTTTTACTCCGACCAATGTTTCATCGACAGATTGGCAGCGCGTTAAAAATGAAGAGTTTCTTCAATCAAGACCTTTCACCAACCTGGTTCATAAGGTCAAGGTCATCGCGGGACAATAAAAAACAAAAATATATGCTTCATAGAAACCCCACAATATATGTAAAAAAGTGGGAACCTGGAAATGGTGAGACGGTCTACAACAATGGCATCATCCATGAAGCTGGATATGACCATGACTTAGTAGTGAAACAACCATGGGGACGACTGGGGATCCCCGATTTGGTTGGAACCCACCCTAGATTGCCGAGCACCCCCCCGCCACAGCCCTCAGTCCTAAGCAGGACATCATGGCATCAGGCATCCCGCATCAGCTACTCAGCTGAGCCGAAGAGCGAAAAGTGCGAGGGTCAACCTCTTCGATGCCCTCAACAAACTTCCGGAAGATTCTGGTGATAGTGCAGTACAAAACTTGGCTGGAATTGCAATGTATATAACATATTCTTATAATATATCCTCCAGCAAATTCCCATGACCTTGCTAGATAGGGGTTGGAAGATTAGTTTCCACTAAAAATGGAAACTCATTTCAGTGTGCAACTGTTAATTTAACATTCCAATTCAACAAAACCAGGGATTTCCCCTTCACAAAACTACCCCTAGGCCATTTCAGATCGGCGTCCTAAAGCTGGTCTGACTTAGACTTTCTGAAGAAGAATGGGGGTCACCATGGGTTTCAATACTAATATTGGTTCATAATGGTTAATATTGGTTAAATATTGGTTAATATTGGTCAATAATGGTTATTAATGTTTAATGATGAACTACTGTGGATGGTTGCGAAAATATTTGCATCACCAACCGGATGGTTGAAACCCAAACAAAATAATGGGATGTTTACCACCGTTTTCAACTGGTGCAGGATTTCGCTGGCCCATCCACCGTATGAAAGCAATATGTCCCTCACGTTGTTTAGCCAACATTTGGACATGGACCGCTTGGTATCATCGCCGTCATCGCCTGCCATGGCTGCCTTCACATGGCCAGGAAAAGCATTTGAGAAGCTGGCCGTGTCTCCAGTTTGAGAAGCGACATGTCCATGGATGTAGCCCCCAAGTCATTCATATTTTCCAGGCTATTTCGAACAATCATCCATGTCTGGCCAGATGTGAATTCTATGGAAAAATGATCAGAATTCCCCAAGCTGAAATAAGCTGTTTGGGGATAGCTACCCCTCTTAATCAGGAAAAATTCACCCAAATGTGAAGCTGATTGGAAGTCGAAGCCCATTTCGAAGCAGCACATCATTGGAACTTTCTGTGACATCTCTGGCTGAATCGGCCAACTCGGCAAGCTGAAATCTTGGGTCATGTTTGGGAGGATTTCCAATTATAAACATAAACATATGTGTATATATAATATATGTATCTATATATAATACTATGTGGTGATGTTATATATATATTATATACACATATGTTATACCATTATATTATGTTATTATCCATATATTATGTGCATATATAAATATATATATTATACCATCATATGTGGTGATGCAGTAACTCGGCCGTGAAAAAAAACTCCAAAAAGAGCGGCGGACCGGTTGGCTGACCAGCTGGATGGAAATTCTGCTCGACTGCGAGCAAGTATCCGAGACAAAAACAAAACAATTGGACGAAAAAATAAACGGTTAAACGGTTAAACTACTTAAAATGATTGCTTACTGGAAACAATCCCAAACAATCCATTATCCAAAAAATTATCGGCTAATGAAAATTGTAATGAAAAATCCTGGTTGGTTAATAATACCCTCTGGTTATTTAACATAGCCATGGAAAATCACCATTTTTAATAGGTAAACCATCTATAAATGGGCCATTTTACATGGCTATGTTAGTCATAACCAGAGGGTAACATTCTTTATCGGTCAACTCTCCGTGACTTAACCCATGAAACCGCTTGGTGGACATCACTGGACAAAAAAATTTGGCGACCCAAACTGCTAACGATCACCAAAACACTGGTCAAAAAACTGGAGAAGTTATGACCCAAACTGGTTTCCTGGTTTTGTTGAGTTTTATATCCAATATTATCCAATAGTTAGTTGTATAGTTTTTTTTGTATTCTATCATCAAAAGCTGGTTGTTGCGACCACAAATCGACGTATATGCCATGGTCAAAAAATGGTGCTTCATGGTCATCCAAAAAAAGGACGGAGTCCTTCCAATCAGATCTGAAAATCCCCAGTTTTTTTTTCGGCGGTGGAAGGAGATCGGACCGTTCCAACGGCTGGTGAAACACGGCCGACTGGGAGGACTGGTCGGAACTCTCGGCCCATTCGGTCCAAGATCCCTTGGAGGCCGAGCCATTTTTCGTGCCCAGAGTGAACATGGCGGTGATCAACACAAAGAAGTAATACTGTCTGTATACATATGTATATATATGTATGTATGTATGTATGTATGTATGTATGTATGTATGTATGTATGTATGTATGTGTATATATATATATGTATGTATGTATGTATGTGTATATATATATATGTATGTATGTATGTATGTGTATATGTATATATATATATCTATGTATGTATGTATGTATGTATGTGTATATATATATGTATATATATATGTGTGTATATATATATGTTGTTTTTGGAATGCTAGAACTTGTAATCATTGGGGCTTAGAAAATGCAAAGTCTGCAAAGTCATATGTGAGTATTCAAGATGATAAATCAATCGAGATGAAAGGTTGATCCTTCAAATGTGATGCCATCGTTCAACTGATGTAATTCTGTGGACTTCAGGTTTCCAAGTAGCAGTTCTCATCAGTTGGAGCCATGTGTTCACTAAAGGGAAGCCTCCCCGTCAGTGATAGAGTTGTCACAGCATTCCGTTGGCATTCCATTTGGCACCACTTGGAAGTGGGCCAAACGGTCCGCCATGTTCGCCAATCTCACCATTTAAAAACCATAAATGAAACACCCAAATATCAAATGTCCTGAGCAATGCCACTTTCAATGCCTAGTCTTTCTTTGCACACTATGACGGCAGCAAAAGATGAACGAAAGCCTTGGTTCCAGGCACCTAGTCCGGGCCGCAAACTTCCAGCTGCAACAGCGAGAATCTCACCGGTAGCATGGGGGATAGCCCGATTCAAATGGCCATTGAAATAGGAAGAATGAGCTTCGAATCGGATTTTGGGGCTACCTTCGATACACGGACCAAACAAAAAGGGGTTGCGAGTCGCCGTTCTGCAGCGGAAACTCTCACGGATTGTGGCCCAATTGTTGTATCTCTTTGGATGGTGAAACGAAATGCAGTCCAAAAATAGAGGACGTATGACGTATTTGGAAAATTTTGGAAATATCCCATCTCATATAATCTGCTTCAAATGATAACACCATCTCCCCTCTCTGTTTTACGGGGACTCCTCCATTCGGACGACACAATAAGCGCGTGAGACGCCCCAAGGGCGGCGCACAAAGGGCGCGTTTCGGCTTCGTCATAAGGTCCGGCCTTGGGTGCCGAAGTTCAAAACCACGATTTCGCCCACTTCGGACTGAAATGACTTTCAAATTTACAAAAAACACTTAACAACAGCGTAAAAAAAAGAGTTGCAAATAGCTTGAACGTCGACACCTTGATCCTTCAGAATACCTATCGTCAATAAGTTACCCTCTGGTAAACTAACATAACTATGGAAAATCACAATTTTTCATGGGAAAACTCACTATAACTGGCCATTTTCAATAGCTATTTTGACATAACCAGAGGGTACCCCCAATGTTAACTCGGTAAGTCACGCCAGGCCACGGCACCGGCTATGCCGGCTTCAGATACACCAAGACCACCGTGATGTCGTCCACCACCGCTCCGCCTGCCACACCACCCTTTTTGTAGCTAAAATCCCCACGTCTAGAGTTGTCAGAATCCCATTTTTCAGGGTGACTCTATGTTAATTGAGTGAAATCCATATTTCCAGTGAGCCCCAATGTTCATTAAATCAATCTCCATGTTTCCTGCTCAAATCAGTGCTGAATTCCCCCAATTTCTGAAATCGGTCAACATGCCCAGTTTTCCTCACGTTCCCCACGTTTTCCAAAGCCTTCCCTCCTCCCCGGCACATGCTCGGGGCCTTCCTCGCGAATCCAACGGTCCCAAGCTTCCTTCGCTAGGAAGTCGGCGGCCTTCTGAGCCTACCATTCACCGGAAGAAAGGAGCAGTTCATTATTTTGGGACATGTGTATGTATACATTATATAATATATATATATTATGATATGATATGATATGATATTATATTATATTACATACAAATTAATCAAACATATGTATATTGGAGTTAAAACCATCGATTTTCTGTGGATTTCACCCAGAAAAAGACCTGGGATTTCAGGGTCAAGCTCGAATCCGTCAAGGATTGGTTTCATGGAAAAGGAAACCAGCGGAAGTGGGCCACAAGAAGGCAACGCTTCCTTAAAACTAAATGGTTTTGTCCAAAACTTAAAATACCTCAAAATCCAATAGTCGCTCATCATTTCCCCATTTGAAAAGCCAAGAACCTGAGATAAAACCCTATTAAGTTCCATATTTCCTGCTGGTTTTGTAGACAGAAATGAGAATTTCAGTTAGTTCACATTGGCAGATTTCTGGGTAAATGATTTTAAATCAGATTCACTAACCTGAAATAAGGACATTTGGGGATGATTCCACACAATCGAAACCATCATTCCAGGGTTCGGTCACGACGTGAGGCCACTATATAATTTACCCAGCAATGATCCATAGTTGATATCCCATTTTTGTCCCATTGGTTATTAAAAAAATAAGCTTCGGTGGTATCCCCAACAGCCGCAACGTTTTATCTTTACAAACATTTTTGGAAGCGTGCTGCCAAGCCAAGCGCTGGCAACACCTCAGCTATGTTTCCGAGAATTAAATGGACACAAATCCTGTTGAACCTGACCTGGCTCTGCACCAAAGCCTCCCGGAACCTTCTCCGGAACCTTCTCCGAAACCTTCTCCAGAACCCTGTTAAACCTAACCTGGCTCTGCACCAAACCCTCCCACGCTTTCCGGAACCTTCTCCGGAACCCTGTTGAACCTGACCTTGCCTTGCAAAGCCTCCCAGACCTTCTCCGAAACCCTGTTGAACCTGACCTGGCTGCACCAAAGCCACCCACCCCTTCTCCGGAACCTTCTCCGGAACCTTCTCCGGAACCCTGTTGAACCTGAATTGGTTTTGCACCAAAGTTTCTAGACCTTCTCCGGAAGCTTCTCCGGAACCCTGTTGAACCTGACCTGGCTCCGCACCAAAGCCTCCCAGACCTTCTCCGGAACCTTCTTCGGAACCCTGTTGAACCTGACCTGGCTCTGCACCAAAGCCTCCAGGAACCTTCTCCGGAACCTTCTTCGGAACCCTGTTGAACCTGACCTGGCTGTGCACCAAAGCCTCCCAGACCTCCTTCTCCGGAACCCTTTTGAACGTGACCTGGCTCTGCACCAAAGCCTCCCAGACCTTCTCCGGAACCTTCGGAACCTTCTCCGGAACCTCGTTGAACCTGACCCGGCACCTGCACCAGTGCACACCGGAGCTATTCTGGGCTGAAGACCCCATTAGCCTATGCTGTTGGGGAAAAATGAGGACCTTCCAATGATATTCCCAATATTCCCAATGATGCACCAATTCATTAGCCCAGCTTTGCAACCCAACAGCTTAGCGGGTTCCAGCAGTTAGTGAATTATAAATGTGTGTGAATTTCGCATATATGGTCTGTAGAATCATTGTGTATAACCAGCATTTACTCACCATATTCGCTGCCTCTGTGGAGGAGTAGTGATGGATCAACGTGATCGCCTCCTGTGGCGTGATGAACTCCTTAAAGCGTGGACGGCGTCTAAGCGGCCCGTTGACCCTTCAGGCTGGGAGGTTAAAAAAGGGGTGAGGAAGAAAAGTTGTATATCATTCGATATATTGATACATATATATATATATACATATTTATGTGCATAAATAATATTATATATATAAATAGGTGTCAGTGCAATTATCAATAAGTATTGCTATTGCTGCCAATATGGTTGCTAGTAGTACTATCGTTTTCAGGACCATGGCTATCAGCGTTGTTATTGATGTTACAATGATTATAAGACCCTGAGGTTTGCCCGGACTCTCAATGAGCGTCTGGATGATGGTGCTGATGGTGATGATCATGATGACGACGATGACGATGATGACGGTGATGACGGTGATGACGGTGACGATCATGATCATGGCCATGGTCAGCCAGGACATGTCTGATAGTGTGGCGCAACTGGCGTTTAAGACTTGGGCAAACCTCGGGATCTGTGTCTGTGTGTGTGTGCGAAGTTTCCACTATCATTATTATAATCATTGTTGCAATTATTCTATAACAACCATATGTTTTTCCCCACAAATTGGCTCATGCTCCAAGTAAAATCTATTTTTCGTGGACTTGCTGGTGGTTTATTGCCCAATTTCGGGGGATATGTACCCCAGTCTTGAATGGTTTTCTCAATTACGCACGTTTCTTCTACAAGTAGAGTCTAAGCTTTTTTGGGGGAGGGCAAATCTCCCCATGTTTCAATTTGCCACATAGTCTTCTCGCAGGGACAAGTTGCCTCATCTTCCAAGATAAGACGAGGCTTACATGTAGACATTGCTGGCATTTTTTTGGTTGCAGTTGCCATTCCCTGGTTTATGGGAGGAGGATGGTCATCCAAGTTGCAGTCGCAGTTGTTCAACTCACCCTCCGGTGCCATCGCTGGGAAATCCCCCTATAAATGGAGGCTTTAATGGGAAAATCATCCACAAATGGGCAAATTTTCATTGCCATGTTTGATTACCGGAGGATACAAAGTGGTTCACCGGAAAAGAAAGTACCCCCGCAGCACCCCATTCCATCCAGAGGCTTTGAAACCCAAGTCCAAGCATCCCAAACACCATCACTACAAAGAAAGAGGATTCTTTCCTGGCAAAACTCGAGCGACTGTGGCCCTAGTCATAGTCCATCTCAATGAAGATCTGGCCATTGATTTGTTGTATGTTTGGAAAAACACACCAGTTTTCGCCATTCATCAAACCACAAAAAATGGGGGCCATAGGAACCGGTCCCAACCACCCGGCACCTTGCTACTGGGGTCCACCACTGCGACCTCCGGCTCACAACTGATACCGCAATCTTGATGACCCAGAAGATCTCCTCACGAGTCCCCGTTCTGTGTGGAACCATGGGAAGACATGGCTAGGGTTGAGCCATGGGAAACCAAGAGAACATCCAAGAGTAACCAGGCTAGAAATGTCATTCTAATGGCGAAACCAGTGGATTTGGGGGGAACTATTTTTTTAGAAACATCACACGTGTTTTTTTTTGACCTGGCAGTTTGAAGTGGGGTGAAATTCCACCCAAATCTCAGGCTGGTGTTTTCTCGTGAGGGGAGTTTGGTGTTTGAAAATAGGCATTGTAGGGAGCATGAAAATGGGGACCTCATACATTGCAGCTGTTTTGCGTCGCGAGAAGTTGGGGCGCTTTCCCCACCAAACTTGCCAGTGCTACAGTGCTACAGCCAGTTTTGTTTGGATAATGCTTGGTTTGAAGTATATAATCGTAGAAGTAGAAATGTCCCGCGTTCAACAACAAACATGGTCCGAAAAGGTTCAGAGTCAACAAGTCCACTCCCACCGCTGTTTCCCAAGTAGAGTGATATCCTTTTGGCAGATAAATATAGTAATAAAATGCAGTTGACGGAAAACACGGTAAATCTGCTAATTCCAATGCCATATTCCTCCAATGATTAGTGGCTCATAGATGCCAATAGAACCCATTTCCGGGAAGTAGTTGCAAAATCTCATGAGGAAAGAAGGGGGACTTACAAACACCATGGCTCTTTAGGATTTCCTAATTGTCAAGTTCGTTGATCCGCAAAACCTTGAAATAGATTCTTCTTCCGCCTTGGAACAACTAGAACACTCAAGCAAGTCAAAGCGGAACTGTAAAATGCAGATTCCTGGCCAAACACGCAAAATAAGATCTCTGAACATGCAGATCTCTTCGCTCATTTGAGACAATCACTGCAGAATCACAGCAAGCATACATAACAATGTGGATATGAAGATCTCGATTGCATTTCACCTTGGAATGTTGTTTACAAAACCTAAGAACATCTCACATATATCGCAAGCCTTACGTTCATCCCAACTGCTTTCGCACTGCATCAAATGGTTGCCCAGTCTGGGGCCTGAGCGGAACCCGAGTTGTTGTAACTCCATCTGTGCCAGGCTGGCATCAGAATGTTGGACGCACACCGAAATTTTGGCTCACCCAATGTCTCGGTGCGAGTATGTCGGCCGTAAAGCCCTTCATAGGCCGGTCATCCTGAAACCTGACGTAGCAGGCCGAACTCATTTTATGTTAATGCAGACATGGTGAACAGTGTCACACTCTTGCACAAATTGTCCTCTCTTCTCTCAACATCATGACCGCATTGGGACGTCCTGGCACACTGACGCTTAGAACGAACAATGCAGATCAATACCAAAACAAATTCAATTAAACCATGCACCCTGCCTCCAAAACTCTTCGAGGAGTCCCAGTTCATAACTTGTCCGATCAAATCATGAACTGGGCCTCCTCGAAGTGCAAATTCTCACACAGACTCAGGATCAAGCTTCGCATCAATTTCGCATTGCCAATACACAAAATGAGCAGCTGGTCGCCGCTCATCTTAGGAATCCTTGCGCTGGCCACTTTGAACACAACAGCTGCTGAAGTGACATCTAGAAACTCAAACGCCGTCTGAGAGACAAAAGACATGCACCATCCTGAACAATGCGTTTCTTATCCAGATGCACTTGCATCATTGTTGCGCATATTCAGCATTCCACGTTCTCAAAGCCTCTGGATCTCCAATTTTGCGGATCTCCAACCGAATGCATTTGCAAAAATAAATTAACAAACATTGGAGTAACTAAAATCCAATGAGTACTGGCTGCATAAGTAAGAACAGTAAGACTCCCCCCCTAAACATCCCTAAACCCTCCCTAATGGAAAAACACGAATATCTACGCTTCGCTCAACATCTGCAAATCTAGAAAAACACGCCGTCCGAAATATACATACAAGTGAAACTATTGCCACAGTATATATCACCAATACTTCAACCATCGCGATATCTCGTTCGGTCACAACATCCGACATGGAAAAATACACTTGAGAGGGGGAACAGGAAAGGCAGGTGATCAAGAAGGGGGAGCAAAACCTCTTTGTGTGAAAGCTGGTTGTGTGTAAAAGTGTGCGGTGTGCACAAGTTTCTGTGTGCAATTCGTTTTCAGTGTAAAAGCATCTGTGTATAAAAGCGTCTGTATGTAAAAAATGTTGTGCGTAAGACCTTCTGTGCGTAACACTTCTGTGCGGAAACAAATTTTGCTCTGTAAAAGCTGCTCTGGGTAAAGTTTCTGCGTGCAAGAATTTCGGTCTGTACTAGTTTTTTTTCGCAGTCTGTCTGTACAAGTTTCTCTGTGTCAATTTTTCTGCATAACAAAATCTTTATGTACAAATTGTTCTGTGCAAAGGCTTCTCTGTGGCAAAGGTTCTGTGTATAAAAATCCCATATTCTGGGAATACCAAGTCTTGCGACCAGTTTCACCAAGCCGTTCGCGCAGACAGTTTTCATAAGCACTCGCGGTTGATTCAGATGACGCCAGCAGAGGCTGTCTTTTCGCTTCTCCTCCGAACAGTTTCACGCAAGTACGTCCAGCACCATTCAGTGGTGTCGAAAGATAAGCTACTACTGTTCTCCCTTTGATCTGCACGACCTTTTCAGGGTTTCCATGGTTGTTCAAGTTATATCGATCGTAAGCCATTTTCTGCAACAGTTCCCACGCTGCCAAGTTGTAGATCTGAAACAAAAATGATTTAGTTTCAGTTCTCCGCCAGGGATGCAATGGCTCCGGCTGGAATTGTTGGATCAGCCAATCGGTTCGATCTAGGATTCTGACATTGGTGTTTGAAGTCGCAACAACCATCTGGCAAAATTGACAACACTTTCTCTCTCGTCTCTCGCCAGCTGGGTGTGGCCATGACGATCGAGCAAGGTCGGATCCATAGCCGCGAACGAAAGGATCTCCAAGCAAGTGGATCTCCGAAATCACAGAAACAAATTTGCAACCACCATAAATAAGAACTGACAAATGGTGTTCTTGAAGACATGTACGACTGCGTTCTTGAAGACAAACATGGGCAAAGAATGTGCGACCTTCTTTTGCTGCTGTTTTAGGTCCCTTAGAACATTCCATCATAGCAAGGAAATGAATAAAGCAAATTTACAGGCCTCAGGTGCATTGGGACGTCCTGGCACACTGACGCTTAAAACGAACAATGCAGATCAATACCAAAACAAATTCAATTAAACGATGCACCCTGCCTCTAAAACTCTTCCAGGAGGCCCAGTTCATGATTTGCCCAGGATCGGGCAGATCATGAACTGGGCCTCCTCAAAGGGTTTGAAATACCAAAATGGGTTTCCACCTCAACAAACAAAAGTACAAGTACCTTGCATCGAAAGAAGTGCAAATTCTCACACAGACTCAGGATCAAGCTTCGCATCAATTTCGCATTGCCAATACACAAAATGAGCAGCTGGTCGCCGCTCATCTTAGGAATCCTTGCGCTGGCCACTTTGAACACAACAGCTGCTGAAGTGACATCTAGAAACTCAAACGCCGACTGAAAGACAAAAGACAAGCACCATCCTGAACAATGCGTTTCCTATCCAAATGCACTTGCATCATTGTTGCACATATTCAGCATTCCACGTTCTCAAAGTCTCTGGATCTCCAATTTTGCGGATCTCCAAGCGAATGCATTTGCGAAAATAATCAACAAACATTGGAGTAACTAAAACCCAATGAGTACTGGCTGCATAAGTAAGAACAGTAAGACTCCCGCCCTAAACATCCCTGAAACTATTGCCACAGTATATATCACCAATACTTCAACCATCGCGATATCTCGTTCGGTCACAACATCCGACATGAAAAATACACTTGAGAGGGGGAACAAAAAAGGTGGGTGATCAAGAAGGGGGAGCAAAACCTCTTTGTGTGAAAGCTGGTTGTGTGTAAAAGTGCGCGATGCGCACAAGTTTCTGTGTGCAATTCGTTTTCAGTGTAAAAGCATCTGTGTATAAAAGCGTCTGTATGTAAAAAATGTTGTGCGTAAAATCTTCTGTGCGTAACACTTCTGTGCGGAGAACTTTCTGTGTAAAAACCGTCTGTCTGTAAAATTGCTGCGCATAAAACAAAAAAACTGTCCATAAGGGTTTTTGTGCGGAAACAAATTTTGCTCTGTAAAAGCTGCTCTGGGTAAAGTTTCTGCGTGCAAAATTTTCGGTGTGTATGTGTTTTTTGCGCAGTCTGTGTGTACAAGTTTCTCTGTATCATTTGTTTCTGTATAACAAAATCTTTATGTAAAAATTGTTCTGTGCAAAGGTTTCTCTGTGGCAAAGGTTCTGTGTATAAAATGTCTATGCGCCTTTGTTTATGTGCGCAAAAGCTTCTTTGCGCAAAGCATCGCTATGTAAAAAAACTTCTTCTTTGTGTAAAAACTCTGAGTGTAAAGGTGTCTGTGTACACAAGTTCTCTGTGCACAAACCTCTCTGTGTCAGAATCCCTCCGTGTAAAAGCTGCTCTGTGTAGAGGTCTCTGTGCGTAACGTCTTCTGGTTGGTGCAGGTAACAAGGGGCGGTGTCTTCAGAATATCCTGATTCTTCGTCAATGACCACTAAAGCAAGACTTTGAACATGATACCCTCTGGTAAACTAACATAGCTATGGAAAATCACCATGTTTAATGGGAAAATCCACTCTATGGCCATTTTCAATAGCTATTTTGACATAACCAGAGGGTAGCGCTAAATCCAGCATCTTTCATGGGACAGCCCATCCCCCGAAACACCCTCCCACTGTGCCTATGCAACGCGACATGTTGAGGCCCGGGTACCGGGCGTTCTTCGCATAGACGCGATGGTTGGCATAGCCATCAAAGACTACCCGGCCACCCGCCTTCTCAATCCCTCAGCAAAGCAGAGCTGGGAAAAGTGTGAAGAGCCCTAGAACTGGTGAGTAAATAGCCTATGAGCACTTCGAATGTGAATAAATATGTATACATATATATATATACATATATGTGTGTAATCCATATATATATATATGTAATCCACATATATGTAATATAATATATATATATATGTAATATGTATGCATATATATATATGTAATATGTATGCATATATATATATATATGTATTCATGCATGTATATGTACGTAATATATAGATAGAAAGAAGGAGTGAAAAAGGAAACTCCAGGTACTCACCATTGATCTAACTTCCCGTTGAATCTCAGCCCCATGTGCTGCAAAACCGCTGAGACAAGTTCTCTAACCAAGTCCCCCAGAAGCGGAAATCGACCAAGCGCTTAGGGGTTGAGACGACGAATGACACCCAGTGCTTCCGTGCTGATTTTACCTGCCTAACCATTCAAACATATGCAAACTGCCCAGCAGTCGCTCAGCAGTCCCAGGCACTCTGTTTTTCGTCCTTCAAGTTGGGCTTGTGATCGCGTGTTAGGGCCACCCCCTCCCATGCATTGCCAGTTTTGGTGCCCAGCACGGCAGTACTGTCCTTGGGTCCGGGTCAACCCACATGGCCAGCACCAGCACTGACGATGGCCATGGCTTTGATTGAAGATAGCCTACACAAAAATCCCATGGCTTATCATCATGTTCAAGATCAAAATGTGCATGTTTATGTTATCCATCCATTTTCAGACACATCCACATACAGATTGCGGATGGTTTATCCCATTATATCCCAATGAAATCCCAATTACCTTTTAAACACCATTAAATGACCATGCCATGAATTAGAGCCATTATAAGCAAAATTAACCTAATAATTATCCTCATCACCATGAAATCACCATAAAATCCCTATGAATCCCCATTAAATCACCATTAACCATAGTTAACTACAGTCATTCATAATGAATTCCCTTGAAATCCCCATGAAAAAAAAAACGGTTGAAAGCCAAGGGTCTGCAACATGAGCCACCGTGATCTTGCTATTTCGATGGTCATGCACAGCCAGGGTGGCAGTGGTTCCCGACATCTGCGCATTCCTAATAAGGGAAAACATGGAAGAACTGCGGAAAAACAAAAATATGAAGGGAATTCGAATGGATGTTGCTATATATATATATACTGTATCAATATATATATATATATGTGCATAAATATACATGCAGTATATGTATATAATATATATATATACATATAATATATATATAATATAATATATATATATATTATATTATAATATATATATATAATATATATATAATATATATAATATATAATATATATATATATTATATATTATATATATATTATATATATTATATATAATATATGTATATATAATATAATATATATATATACATTTATATAATATATATGTATATATATATATATATACATTTATAATATATATATATATACATATATATATACATATATATATACATATATATATATATATACATATATAATATATATATACCCGTATTTAAATTATGTTCAAACTATCCAAAATTGGGGATGTGCGGATTTACTGATGTTTAATAGTGATTTCAAACTATCCAAAATTAGGAATAGAATGGAATAGATGTCAAATTATAAACTGGGATACTAGGGATTTAATGGGGTTAACTAATTATACCCGTAACTTTGGAAAATTGCTGGGATAATCAGCTTTGATTGGGATTTAAAACTATCCAAAATTAGGTATATGAAATATAGGGTTGACTATATATGTGATACAACTATACAACTAATCAAAACAGTGGGTTACACTCTGGTATTTTGGCATAGCTATGGAAAGATCACCATGTTTAACAGGGGTATCGAACTCGATGAGCCATGGCTTCCATACTTATCTTCAATTGCCAACCCCTAAAAAAATAGAAAGCTGTAAAACTCAACCAAGTAATTTATAAGGTAGTGCTAATCAATATTAATCTGTTCATATCTGTTCTATCTTTTTTGGGGGTGACTGTATGCGTATTGGGATCTGGGATTTTAATCCGAAAATTCAGCACCCCGATTGCACAACGCTGAACCGGCTTAACCCCACAAAGGTTCAAACAATTTCTTCTTTAAGCCACTGACTTGTCATTCGAAAAAAATCGGGGTTGCGGATGCAACCCCGTTGGTCATTCCCCGGTGACGCCATCTCTGTCAGGCGGTTAGTCAAAACCCCACGACGTCGCCATGATGCAACTGTTTCATCTTATCAGAGGTATGCACCATGCTTTGCGTCTTCCTGGACGCGCGTTTGTCCAGAAAGCGCTGGGTCTTAAGCGCTGAAAAAAGCCGCCAGAAGATTGACATGACATGACTGTCTCCTTAGGAATCCATAGTGATTCTATAGGATTCTGAATATTCTAGTTTATTCTAGATTCTAGATTCCATTGAGTTGAAATTCCCATAGAAATTCTATCGTATTCCAATTTCAAATCCTCCAAGAAAGCAACTCACTGCTGCAAAACCGGAGAAGTTCTGCAGTAATAATCACCTTGCCAGAAGAAAACACCGGTCCCTGTGCTCCCTATTTCTTCAACAGATCCACCCCACCCAACAAGTTTCCTGATCTTTCCGAACTACAAACATCAGCATTTTTTCGGAGGGTGAGCACTATTGCATACCCTCTGGTAAACTAACATAACTATGGAAAATCACCATGTTTAATGGGAAAATCAACTATTTCTATGGCTGTTTTCAATAGCTATTTTGACATAACCAGAGGGTAACCATGATAATCATGATTAAGCGATGCTTCGAGTCTCTCCAAAAAGGATTTCAGATGGACCCATTTCATGAAGCCATCAACCACCCACCGTCCCGAGACGAACATAGAGATGGAAGTTTTCCACCATGATTTTTTGGAGCATTTCCAAACAGGAAAGCCATGGATTTCCAGAGTTTTCTCTATGTTTACTGGAGGCTCATTCCCATTCATATCCCCCATTTTTATCCATTTTTGTTGATTAAACATGATTAAACCATGCTAAAAAGCCCTATTTCCCATCATGAAATCCCCTGAAAATCCCAACCTCAAGCCGCACACTCACTGATTCCGCACCTGAATGCATCTGTCAAGATGGCGCCCCACTCACTTTGCGCACTCCTTGGGTCCGACACGATCAGCTTCGGGAGCACGTCCTGCCCAGTTCGGGATCAGAGTCGGCCGGGTTTTTTCTTTTTGCCAACCGTTTTTTTCCCAGAAAACATGGAGATTTCATGGGATTTTATGCTGATTTATAGGGACTTAGTCAAGAAAAAATGATAAAAAATGTGGATATGAATGGGAAGTTCCCTATAAATGGAGGTTTTAGTGGGACAAAAACATCGAACTCAACGGTGAATTTTCTATTGCCGTGCTTGATTGCTGGCTAAGCAGGGGGGGATTGTCCACGTGATGCATGTGCGTTTTTTCTTAATGTGTGTAATGCAGAAAATAGAAAAATTTGGCCAAGAGAAATCAGGAGATCAGCTGCACAAATCAGGATATGATGATATCGCCAATCTGGAGATCTCATCTGCAACTGGGCAGATTCGCAACCAACGATGATCATGTCATCAGCCCTTTCCCTGTCCATGTTGGTGTTATCGAGCCGTATCCCCATTTAAGTTGGATTTGTCAAGTGCTTTGCCGAGCTGTTTTACGATCATCTTCCATCAAGTTTCATCCATGTTGTTTTTCCAAATTCCACCGTTGTTTCCATGCGAGAGACGGCGAGACGGCCCCAGGTCCTTCACAAAGTTGGACACGTCATGACCTCGGTCCGAGGCTGGGAGAGTTTCTCGAGTCCTGCCAAAAAAAGGTTGGACTTTGGCAAAATCCGATACCACTTGATAGTGATTGCTGATTAAAAAAATTGAACCTGTTCAAACTCTTTTTTGCAATTATGAAAAATCTGCATACCGTTGCATACCTATGTATACCTCCTTTTGGGACATATAACAACCACATTCTCCAAAAACACCCCTTTTCTCCGCTGAAGTCATGGCCCATGGCGTTGATTTCCGTTCTCGGCAGAGCACCTTTCTGGCCGTGACCATCAAAGACGCCATAGATGGAGAAGTCGTCAGTCTTCAACATGCACCAGGAATCCTGGTTGGGACTCTCCTCAGCTACGGTTCGCGGTGGTTCAAACGGGGGCGAACTAAAAACTGGAGGACGTTTCCCGTTGCCATGGCGGTTTCCCCTTGATGCCATGTTTCCACGTTTCATGAGGCATGTGTAAAAACGATTTGTTGAAGGTTTTCCAGGTTCACTGTGAAGCACCCGACCATCAACATAGTCAGCAACTTTCCTTGAAAAGTCCTTTCCAAAAATTGGGCAACAAATGGTCGGACGTGAGGTCTCCTCAATTTGAGGACATCTCCATATCGACCCACCAGCAGAAGACATCTCTAGGTCAAATTGACCCCAAAATCCCATTGTCAAATAATCCCATCCCAATATTCACCCAGAAACCATCAGAAACCATGGTTGAATAGGGGATCTACAAATATGTGGGATACGGGGTGTTTAATATTGGGAGGATGGGATTGCACCCAAAGTTGCAGGGCCAGGTTCGCCACCAGATATCAGACACCTCCCCTGTGAGCCAAGCAGCAGGTTTCAAGCCCTTCCTGCAAGTGTAGCCCAACCCGTGCTGAGCAGCTTGCAATTCGTCTCCGTATTGCTGCCTGGTGATGTGTCCAGCTCTGATCCCCCAAGATTTTCATGGAAAAATATCCGAACCATCAACACCAGGGTCAATAGATTGATTCAGGGGAAGATCTATAGGAAGCGATGACTTTTACCCTGAACATCCAAATGTTTCCGGTCCAATTCTGGAAGAGGGATATGATTTGGGCGCTTTCGCCGGGATCGGCAGTGCTAGGAGTGTTTCTTTGTATAGAACACTGCGCGGGCAATTTCCAACGGGTCATGAATGCTTGATCATGAGTTGCCAAGCACAGGCATGATATCCAAGACCTAGTCTGGAAATATCTGGAACCCATTTTGTGGTTATTTCCAGAGGAAAATCTTCTTCCAACCACCCTTTTTGAAGCTGCTGCATTCCGTGTTATTCTTTTATGGGGGGGTACAAGCTACCAACCACTTGAACAAACCCTCTGGGTGCTTGCGAAGATTGGTCAGTCCCAACATCCACCGGCAGGTCCTGAAAAGCCATGGCTCCCCCCCGTTCCATTCCATGTTGGTTCTCCAAGTTGCATGGTCTTGTTGGCAAAGGAGGTTGGGTTCTGGTCCGTCGAGGAGCCTCGGTGCAGATCCCATGTAACAGGCTTTCGGATAGGCCCCAGGGTATAGTCAGATAGTCGGCCAGAGACCCCAAATCCTCCAAGTCCTCCACTTTTAAGGGGGGAACACCCATGGTTTTCGGAAGCAGCACCGCACACCGCATTAAGTCAGATCCCAAGCAACAGATGGCAGAGTTCCGCCGTCCCTTCGCCGGTTGCCCATCACGCTGGATCATGTCCAACAAATTCTGCTGGTTAAACTGGGCGATGAGCCCTCGGAAAAGCCGATGTCTTGCGCAAATCATGGCCATGGGAGGGGAGCAACCGGGCAACCCACCAAATTCGGAGCTCGCTTGTTTCCCTTGAAAGATTGAACCCCCCGACCTCAGAAACCCTGAGTGACTCTTGGATCTATTCATTCTCGGCCCCTCCTTCACCAGCCAGTCATGCGAGGTGGTCCGGTCGTGAAGCGATAGGTACTTCGGAGAACGGACATCAAATCACCCGAAAGGGCCGATCGGAAAATGATTTTCTATCTTCGGATCCAAAAGCCGATCTTCAGAAATGCTGGTTACAAATCTCCATGAAGTACCCAGGTCAAGGTGGAGCCCCCCTTTGCAAGCTGAGTTCGTTTATGACTTCAATTTCACAAACGGGTGGCCGTGAAATAACTATATACTATTCATGGGGTAAAAAAAAAACAACAAATATCCCTCAGAGGCCTCACCCAGCAGGACCTTGTAATATCCAAAAATAAGATCTATCCAACATCTTAATGGTTGCTGGGAAGGCCAAAAAAAAACACCATTTGGCGACGGCGATGGTGATTTTCCTTGGGGATGGGATCGTTGGGAAAATGGTGGTTTAATGGTTAGCTTATAATTTATGACCAACTTTAACCAAGTACTAAGTATGGTTTTTATACATCTATAACCAACATTTTTTAGTTGGATTGTGGAGGTTATACCCTCTGGTAATTTAACGTAGCTATTGAAAATGGCCATAGAAATAGTTGATTTTCCCATTAATAGCATGGTGATTTTCCATAGTTTTTTGTAAACGTTTACCAGAGGTTATAACTGTTTTTTGGACCAACTTTAAGCCCCATAAAAACCCCGCACCATTCTTCGGCTTCAAAAGTCCCAAGGGCCACGATCCTCCTGTGTGGTACGGTCATCCACCTCGTGGACATCGCCTGAGGTTTCAACCAATGGATGGATGGCTTGGTTTTCACGGCCAAAATGTACCAAAATCTACGGGAAAGCCCCATATTTCATGGGAAAATCATGGGAATATCATGCAATTTCCTGTTTCGATTTTCCCAACAAAGCTCAATCCATTGATTGAAGAGATTTCGGTGATTTCAATAGGGGGAAATTTCATGGGAAATTGGTGAGTTGATCCCGTGTTAAAAAGGGATTTTAAGAGATGTCACCTTGGGAAAATAGGCTTGATAGTGATTTGATGGGATTTAATCAGATCTGTGTGGTGATTGGAATTGAATGGACTTGATGGTAATTAATGATAATTGTAAGTAAGGATTTTTCATGGTGATCAATGGCAATTAATGATGATCCATGGTAATACATTGCAATTAGTGGTAATTAATGGGAATTGGTATAGTAATTGATGGCAATGAATTGCAATTCATGGTATTTAATGGTAATTAATTGTAGTTTGTGGTCTTTATTGGTAATCAATGGTCATTAATGGGAATTAATGGGAATTGATGGTATTTGTAATACATGGGGTGGAAAGTAAAGATATGGAGAGCGTTTACCCCCACAAAGATTGGCTCAAGATACTATCTAAATCATTTGCCACGAAAATGCACTGCTACTTATTGATCTTATTGTTACAGTAGTCCTTTTCGGGGTTACTACACAAATGGGAACGTTCACACGTTCAGAACTGTAGAAATGGGATGTTTGAACCTATTGAAGCAGCTTGAACTCACGGAAATGCATGCAGAATTGCCTCAACAGCCAATCTGTTAAAATTTGGGCAGCTGTTTTTGCGAAAGTGTCCCTTAGCCTTGCTGACCTTGAACCTCAAAACTCCACATCCAGTGCATTTTCGCGCAAATTCCGCAGGCCCCAGCCCCCAGCTCGAACTTCTTCCGCCAAGGGGCTAGCATCAACATTGCCAACGCTCAACCTGCGTCGTTGCTTCACCACATTGGCTTCTGGCGCCGTGGCATTCGACGAAGCGCACCCCATCAGGCCATGCGGGCGAGGACTTTACCGAGGTGCTCGATCCACTCAACGGGCAAAATATGGCAAAATGATCAACGTCCAAGAGAAGAAACTCAACTTAACAGATTTAACAGGCCGTAAGATGCGTAAGATGCGTATGTCTGGCTCGTCACATCGAAATTTCCGGAGTGAACATCCCTAGTTCAAGAGCTCCGCCGCAGGGAAACATGGCAAAAATCACCCCAAAGCTGATCAATTTCGCACGCCGCGTTGAGGATGAAACCCAGAAACCAACCAGGCCCAGCAAAACCACCGAAAGGTTCGTGATTTTTTGGGAAGGGTATCTAGCCAACCTGTCCCTCACCAAGTTTGTCCTCTGAGATTATGCAACATCTATATATGCACAAAGGACATATTATGGAGGTTTCCTGAAATGGTGGTACCCCTAAATCATCCATTTTAATAGGATTTTCCATTAAAAAAAAAAAATTGGGGATCCCCCATTTATGGAAATCCCCATATGCAAACACGTGTCTGTCCCACACTCGCAACCACTTTTGAAAACGCCTCCCCCAGCTGCGGTCGCTATACGGTGTCACTCTGCAGGGGGGTTGGCTTCAGTTTTTGCCCAGTTGAACCAGTTTTTCACCACTTAAATGTACGGTTCCAAAACTGTGGTGATATGGTTCGGAAACTAACAAGAATATGCTCCTGAAACTATGGGGAGTGGTTCTGTAAGCACATCAACTTTGTCCATACTTTCAACATCTTGTTCTGTAGGGTCAAGGAGGGGTAAACTGTAAAATGACTCAACATGTCCACTGTAAGGTCGAGGGGCGTCAACTTTAAAAATGACTCAGTCATGATGCCAACTTTCTTCCTATCTTCAACGAATTCTTTTTTAGGGGACGGGGTGTGAAAAATAAACATGATTCAACATGCCAACTTTCTTCATATGTCCAACGTATTGTTTGGTATGGGAAGGGGGCTAACTTTTGAAAATGACTCAATCTGCCGATTTGTTCACTTGTTCACGTATTGGCTTGTGGGGGAGAGGGGTTGATCCTTTTTGAAAACTCAGACTCAATATGTCAACTTTGTTCACATACGGGGATGGGTCAAAACCCTGGTACCTAGTGAACCCCAAAATAGCTGGTAAATGGATGTTCATCCCACTAAAAATGTATGTATAGGTATTGACCCATACCCACATACGTATTCAATGTATTGTTTGGTAAGAGAGTGGAGGGGGTGAAATTCTTGCTTTCAACGCTCTCCTTTTCGTTTCAGCGTATCAATCTGCCGGCCTGCCGGCGTGTCTTGTGGATCTTGCTTGTTCGTAGTTGTACCGTCTGTTTTGTCTTTGTCTTTGTCTACACTTTCCCCTTGGCGCGGATTTTTGCCTCGTCTAACTTGAACCCACCCCCCTTCTTCGTTTCGTCTTCATCTTTCCTTACATTTTGGTGGGCTCAACTCTGCCCACGCCTCGCTCAACACCGGCTTGGTTTTGCATGTTTCCGTTTTCTTGTTGCGTTTGCCATCGGTTTGATCCACTGGCCTTTGTGCCGAACACCTTTTACACTAACCTTTCTAAATATGGCCTTTTCCAAAACCCTGGTTTACACACTTGCTTTGGTCTAAACTTAAACCGTGGTTTTAACAAAACCAATGTTTTTGCGTCCAGACCCTCTTTTACACAAAGACCTGTCCTTTCCGGCTCGGCTCTTTCCTTTACATGTCAGATCTGTCCGTTTCAGCTCTTTCCTTTTTGTCTCAACCCTGTCCTTTTCGTTTCAACTCCGTCCTTTCGTTTCAACCCTGTCCCTTGGTTTTCAACTCTTTCCTTTTTCGTGTCAACCGGGTTTTATATAAACGCTTGAGCCAGTTCAACTGGTTCTGAACCACTTGAACCAGTTGAACCACTTGAACAACTTGAACCACTTGAACCACTTGAACCACTTCAACCACTTCAACCACTTCAACCACTGCAACCACTTGAACCACTTGAACCACTTGAACCACGTGAACCACTCGAACCAGTTGAACCACTTGAACCACTTCAACCACTTCAACCACTTCAATCACTTCAACCACTTGAACCACTTGAACCACTTGAACCACTTGAACCACTCGAACCAGTTGAACCACTTGAACCACTTCAACCACTTCAACCACTTCAACCACTTCAACCACTTGAACCACTTGAACCAGTTGAACCACTTGAACAACTTGAACCAGTTGAACCACTTGAACAACTTGAACTTTAACTGATTTAACTGATTTAACTGGGCGGACAAAAATCTACGCTTTCTGCGGTCGCAAGGAGCATTTCTTCTTCTCTCGCTCCTCGCGTCAAAACACAGGGGTGGTCCCACTGGAGGGATCAACCTCACCATTTCGGGCTATGTATTGTACCCAGTGGAGAAAACAAACTAGGACAGTATAGGGAAGTAAAAACTCCTACTGAAATAGTGCTTCATGACTTCATGACTCAATCCATCTTTAATTAGCATTGCGAAAAACGCCAGAGCAACCGTCACATCAGAGCAACCGTCAAAATCCAGCTGAGACTCCAGTTCTGAGGCCGTAAACGTCTTATCGAAGACACCTTGGAGGACCATGGAGCGCCCACCATAGGATGTCCAGATTTCCCATTGGGGTACCCTCCAGATTTTGCCTACAGCGAAATCCATGGGGTTCCGGTTCAGAAAATCCATGGATCCCACCATGGTGGATGTTCCACACCTGAAAAAAAACATGGGTTTTTGGGATATGTCTTGAATCTGAACACATCAGAGTTGGCAATGAGCAACACGTGGCCCAGAGCTGCATGATCCGCACATTTTGGGGTGCCATAACGCGAGGACTCGGGTTTGGGAGACGCCAAATCCACGCTTTTAGGATGTTTGATCGCAAAAATGTGATTGATAGCGGGGTGCCCGATTTCAAGACACCCCAAATGGGCGTCTGAAAATGGGGTACTGTATAATGGCCGTTTTGAGAGGGATAGTGGTCTTCTTCAACCAATATCAAGAATGGCAGTGGCCACTTCTGCGATTTTTTGCAGGTTAGTTCACCGTGATGCCTGACCAGTTGTGGCCGCATTGGTTGCACCACCATATTTCTTAGGTGAGCTTTGAAAAACGTAGCATTGATTTCTACTTAGTAGGATGGTTCTTCATGAGTTCTTTATCGACTGAGAGCGACACACATGGCATCTCCTTTGGGTATGGGTCAAACTTGTTTCGTTTTAGACCTAATAACCCCTGAAAGTCGAAGGACTCATTTTACTCACCATAGTTGTGGAGTTGTGGTCTCCACAATTACCCTCTGGTAAACTAACATAGCTATTGAAAATGGCCATTTATAGTGAGTTTTCCCATGAAAAAAGGTGATTTTCCATAGTTATGTTAGTTTACCAGAGGGTAAGCCAGTGGTAAAAAGTCAACGGGATTTTCTGTGAACTTGACCCATTCCCGTCTACCGGGTATACCGTTTCGAGCCAAGATACGACCTTCAGGCTGCCATTGTCCTTTGTGCAGCCTGGAGGAGTCCAGCTTGTGGTGTTTCCACAGGCAGCCATGATTCTTGACCCGGTGCACCTATACGAAGTCTCCATAAATGAGATGAACTAAGAAACTGGTTGGTGGTATACCTACCATTGGTTGGTAATATACTGTTAATAATGGTTAATATGGTTATGATGATGATTAATGATGGATAATAATATGCTGGTTGGTGGTTGAGCCTACCCCTCTGAAAAATATGAAAGTCAATGGGAAGGATGACATCCCATATATTATGGAAAATAAAATTCATGTTCCAAACCACCAACCAGGAAATGGCTGTTTCACCAACCAGCACGGCTGCCCTCAACGAAGATTTCACCCAAAATCTTCGTCCTAAGAGAAAGGCCTATCCCGGCGTTGCCCCGGCGAAACCCCTCCCGCCTTTTTGCAAAGGTGTTGGCCACCATGAGTGGAAGCACCAGGGTCGCTTCTGCATGTACCTCGAAAAATAAATGAGATGAGTGCCAAGGCCAGAAGGAAATACCGGCAATATGGCAAGTTTGGGAAAATTCCTCGATCAAAAAATGGGAAAATCGGAAAAGATGGGAAAATCCGACCCTATATTTAACTGGAAGTTGATCGCTTCTCAAGCTCCAACCCCTCGGCCTTAACGGGCTGTGCATCCACTCGGATCTTTCCCCAACTGACCTAGGCACCAGCCAGTTGCGCATCGGTGGCTTTTTGATTTTCGACCTACCTGACGTAGATAGAATATGGGATTATGAAACATATTTCCACTATAAGTGATGTACCAACCAAAAAAAACTCTTCTATCTACTCTAGGATGATGCCTATAGACACATGTATCTGCGCGTGACAAATACGCTGTCATCATTGGTCCTCCAAGTTGCGGCTTCATCCGGCTGCGCGCCGCTGTCTGAGCCATCGAATTCCTGCAGTGGACAAGATGTGCGTCCTTGGACGCAAACTGAAACTGTTCGAATTCCCAGCCATAAATAGCCATCAATTGGAAGAGAACCCCAACATATGTAAGGTGTGTCGAATGTTTCACCTAGTTTCTTTTTCCCCTCAGAAATGCAGTATTTGGATATAGAATTTTGATTCAAATTGCTTCATTGCGAGCCAGGTGGTTTTGAGACCGACCAATATCATAGTGTTGGTTCTGTATCCAATTGTAGCCCCATTAATTTATAGCCCCCATGTTGCATCACCATAACTATGATCAAATGGCGAGTTACTCCCAAGATCTCCCAAAATCCTGTGGCATTTTTCATCATTTTCCCTGCTTTTGTACGGCTATGTCGGGTGTACCGCATTTTCAGACACACCCAAATATCTGGGTAAATTATAATATTTCACTAACTTGAATTAAGGCCATTTGGGGATGATTTCCCTTACTAACCATGATTCCAGTGAGGTCGCAGTGAGGTCGTTATAATTTACCCAGAAATATCATATTGGTCGCTGTATATCCCAGTATCAGTTCAGTTCAATCCAAAGTTTTCTTCGTCAAATCCCCTAAAAAACACACCAGTTACCCGATTGTATCCCCACAAAATACCCTGAAAAACCACCATGAAGCTTCCATTCTCCTGATATTCCCATTGGATCCAGGTTATACCCATCTAAAATGGACCACTTCGAAGAAACCCTCCTGTGCGGTGCTCACATACACAGCAAAGTCGGCACCATTACCTGGGCGCGTTCGCCGACGATTCCTCGGGAGTTGACCGACATTTGATTCAGCCACAATTTGGTGGTTGATTCTTTTTTGCAGCAATGGTGGATTTACATTTACCATCCAGAATTAAGAATAAGGGGGTTAACTATATGGTAACTCATCAAAACAGAGGCGTACCCTCTGATAACTCTGGCCACATCGCCAATTGAGTTGGATGATTTCCCACTTCGACATAATGATTTTCCATGGCAACCTCCTAAAAATTACCGCCAAAACCAGTTCCTGGGGATTCTGCGTCAAGTTTAATGCTCTGCACCGGTTTGGTTGACCAGTTGGTCATTTTTCCTACTAAACTTGCCAGAACTGGGATCATACCAACCATTTTCAGAGCCAGATTTGAACCCCGAAACTGAGGATTGTCCAGTCTTTTCTCCCCTTTACAGTCTGGCAGCCAGCAGCCTGCTCCACCAAGATGTTTAAAGCAACCAGAACGCACTAGCGCATTCTTTTGTAACCCCAAAAAGTAGCAGAAACGGTTTAGTTTACAGTAGCACTATTTTAGAATCAGATTTGACCAAATCCTGCATTTTTGCTGGGTACAAAAGAATGTATCTTCATTATATATATATACATACATACATACATACATTTAGATATACTATGGTATCCTGTATATATACACATATGCAGGTGGATGCCCATCATTTTCCAACGGAAAATGCACCTCAGGCACCAAAAAGGCACCGAAGCCAACTCACCAGGCCACGCATGATATTGGCATTCATGCAGTGATGCTTCACCAGTCCACCACCTCAGCGGCTGTTGAAATCCCATTGGCAAATATGTCAAGTTAGATTATATTAGATGTTATACATTGCATAGATTCTATACTGTGATACATATATATATAATTAATATATATATATAATTAATATATATATATAATTAATATATATATATAATTAATATATATATAATTAATTAAGAGATATATATATGTAATTAATATATATATATACAAACATACATATATACATATATACATATATACATATATACATATATACATATATACATATATATATATATATACATATATACATATATACATATATACATATATACATATATATATATACATATATACATATATACATATATGTATACATGTATATTCTATATTAGATGATATATTCTCAGCATGCTCCATCGTCCAGCCCAGGGGCCAATGATAAGGACCCCAGTCTTCCGAGCCTTCATGGCCTCGACGAGGCGTTTGAGAAAATCCCTAGATCTTCATACGGTGGATGGGCCAGCGAAATCCTGCACCAGTTGAAAACGGTGGTAAACATCCCATGATTTTCTTGGGCTTTCTACCATCCCAGGTGGTGCAGGATTTCGCTGGCCCATCCACAGTAAAGGAGATCCTGCTGATGTTTATGATCATGGCTTTAAATCAATGGATTGGATTAGGGGAAAATTTACAGGAAAGCCCCATATTTAATGGGAAAATCTATGGTTTCCTGTAGATTTTCCCTTAAACCAATCCATTGATTAAACATTCTTCAATTTGTTCTTCCCACCTGATCGTTGACACCACGGATGTCCTGCACGATATCCAGCACAAAGCCTGGAGCCACAAAGAACGACTGGGATCCAATGGCTGTATTTCATGGCTGTGTCCAATGGATATTTTATGGGGAAATTATGGGGAGATTATGGGAAGATTATATTATATTATATTATATTATATATATATAACACCAACATGTCTAGTCTTATGGACTGTGTCTGAAAATATGGTATGCCATCAAATTCTAATTCCAATGCGAAAATGATGATAAACCAGCGCTTTATATTTGGCTACCCTCTCAGACTCCAAATGACTTCGCTCACCTCCTAGCCTCCAGCTGAATCGTTACCGGTAAACATAGACGTGGAAGCCACGGCCCATTTAGTTCGATGATTTGCAGAAAATGGTGATCTTCCACATCTATGTTGGTTTACCCTAGGATACCCTAGGGTATGTATTTTGTCCTGGCAGAAACGTTGGGAAAACTCCTGGCAGAAACGTACAAAATCCCCATTTCACTATTGAAAAGTTGGGACATCCGCCACTGGTAACTTCGGAACATCCCACTTCGGAAGTTTCCTCCCAGAATGCTTCCAATATGCCTGGCTGCCAATGTGATACGGTGCCATTTAATAATAGCCAATGTTCTATACATCCATTGATGATTGGATGATTAACATTGATGATTAACCCATGATGATTAACCATTGATAATAGGATAATAACCCAATTGGTTGTTAACCATCTATTTAGGATAATATACCCATTGATGATTAACCCATGTCTAGAAAAAATGATCCTTCCAATCGCCATCTTTTTGGACGTTTTTGGACGTTTTGCTTGCCTTTTCCACTGACCGTCCATCAACAGTCACCACACCTGGCCGCTTGTAGTTGTGGAAGTACAACATGTCGCCAATGGAGCCATCGGTGATGGCCGGGGAGAAGATCGGAATGTTGTTGAGGTAGGCCCAGTAGCAAACCGATGTGGGGTTGTTGATTTCCTGGTGACTTCACAACCATCGAAAAAAACCTTCAAAAAGTCGAGAAAACATATCAAAAAAATGGTAGATGAGCTATGGTCATCCCTCTATTGGGACTTCGATGAATCATGTACCAGTTTTTGTAGGATTCTAGTGATTCGACTGATCTTTTCTGGGGGTTCAAAAAAGATATTATCAGCGAAAACCATTCAAAACATGTCCGAGTTGGACTCTGTGTAGCTTCAAAGATCGGGTGGGCACCTTTCAACCCCATATGGAGGTTCCTAATTCATGGTACCCCCAAATCATCCAAGTCACGAATGACCATGTGAGTATTAAAATCCATGGTGACGACTGGGGCGGATCCCCAATTTTAGGAAACCTCCATATCTTTTTTCCAACGGGGAGCTAGCTCTCATTCCATGCTGACCGGCGATCGGGCGTCCTTCCCAAAGCGATGGATCATCTTGGTGGGGCTCCACACAACTCCATCCTTCTCCTGTCCGGTCATGCCTGGGAAATCTCCAATATTTATACAGGTTTTATAGGTTTTGAATGGGAACAAGATCTGTAAATCGGGAAGGTTCCAGCCTTTGTTGAAGAACCAGAGGGTAAGCAAAACTACAGATGTTGCTGATTTTGGTAGGGAAGCATCCCGTTTTGTGCGGGTACATCATGTCTGTCCCCAAAGCCGACTGACCTACCAAAGGCTCGAAAATCTATCAGCGTTTTCCGAGATGTCCTGTCCGCAAATGGCAAGTGGTCATTTCATTAATGCTGGATGAGAATCTCATAGGGAATGGTGGATCAGAATCATACTGTCAAGAAATCACTTGTGTGAATAATCATACTGATCATAATCATACTGATGGTGTTCAAAGGCCTATGTCCTATGTCATTCCATTCCATGGTAAATAGCTGATTCCCATCACGTCCGATCGCAGAACCTGCTCGTCATGCATGCTGTTCAGGATAGGCATCAACCAGTCCTGTAAAATCGAGTCCGACATGGCTACCAACCACAGGTTGAGGATGAACAATTAATGCGGGTAAAACAATGTCATAAACCACCTATGACTGGGAATGGTTGAAATCCCATCTATAAAAATGGCGATGGACTGGGGGATGGTTTATGATTGTTTTACCCACATTTGGTAGATCTGCACAACCATTCCTCCAAAGTGAAAATCATGTGAACAACCAAAGGGAAAATGCCCCTTTCGTTTCCAAAAGGAGAACCCTTTTTGGAAAATTGAAGAAGAGTAGGGATGGAGAACTGATCTATATATATATAGTCTATAAATGTCGTCCATTTCTCACATTGAACCATCGATGTCGACCCTCCAAGTCACCAACCATGGGATGCCTCAAAGAGACAATAGTTGTCGTTAGGAGCCAACAAGTTGCCTCGCAGCGACAGGGTTGATCTAAAGCCAGGAATTTACAGTCCACCTTCTGGACATTTCTTTATAGTTAATGGTGGTTTAATAGTGATTTTCTATGGTTTCTGTGGGATTAATAGGATTTAAGTAAGAAATTTGATTGTCTAAACACCAAGAGATCATGGGGATGGAAAACCAACTCCAAGACACTCCAAGGAGACGTGATCCGGAGAGAGGTCTGCAGAGTTGGTTTCGAACTGCGAAACCCGAAACCCGAAACCCGAAACCGACAGCGAAAGTGGGTTTCAATCGACGAAACCCGAAACCCGAAACCCGAAACCGACTCTGAAGACTTAACTTCCCCAGGGCCGATCGAAACCCGAAACCCGAAACCCGAAACCGACAGCGAAAGTGGTTTCAATCGACGAAACCCGAAACCCGAAACCGACAGCGAAAGTTGGTTTCAAGCGACGAAACCCGAAACCCGAAACCCGAAACCCGAAACCGACAGCGAAAGTTGGTTTCAATCGACGAAACCCGAAACCCGAAACCCGAAACCGACTCGAATCCGACTTTTGGGTGGCTCTCCGGATCGGAACTCACTCCAAGACACTCCAAGACACTCCAGTGATCCAAAACCACGAGATCAGACACGGCGCCCCCACCTATTCGGTTGAGGCCCCTGGAACGCAGATCTCTCCCCGGCAAAGCAAAGTCTCCCAGGTGTGTGGGAGCGAGGCATTTGATGATGTCCTGCGAGACCCCTGGAGACCGGCAACTTGGCTTTGTCAAAAAAAATGGGAATAGCTGACATGGCAATTTTTTGTGGAATGATGCACCAGTGGATTTGGGGGTACCCAAGTTCTGGAATCAGATATTGACATGATGGAATACTGCTTCTAACGTACGGGTTTGGACCAATTCCTTACAGCAGTGTCTTTTTGGGGTCGGTTTGATTCTTGATTTGCTGTCATGCACTGATTGGTTGTGAAGAAAGAGAGGATCATCCCCAGTACTTTCCAACTGTCCCTATGGTCAACAACTTCTCAACAGGAATTGCGTTAAGGGGCCGGCCCTTGTAAAGTTCAAGCAAATCTCATCATGACCTCAAGGAATTCATGGTGAACCACGAGTATCCTCTAATTTCTTACATAGCTATGGAAAATAACCTATGTAAACATGGTTATCGTTATTTTGGATTGGGATGTTGAAAGTTTACCCTCTGGTTATTTATTCTCCGCTATAGACAATCACCATGTTTAAAAACGCTAAACCATGGTAATAAATGGGCCTTTCTCCATACCACGGCTCTATGGTGATGCTTGACCAGAGGGATCACATCTGGTTATGACTAACAGTTTGCCATGGAAAGATCCAGCATGCTATTAGTAGGTAATCTATTTCGACTGGGGCCATGGCTTCCATAGCTATGTAACAAATAACCAGAGGGTACTTGTTGGTAAATGCTTTTTGCATTGAAACTTGGATACCCAAACATGGCATCATGGGAAGGTCGAACAGTCTAGCATGTGCTTCCCAAGACCTCAAAGATTGCTTCCTGTGTCGATTTCATGTCCAGCCATCCTGCCCTGGTTGAACGCCATGGAAAGGGCTCTGGGATTACCGTTTTTTAACCCCCAAATAGCTGATACTTTCGATGGTTGTTGATGATTATTGATGGTTTTCCGAAATAACCAATGGTTGTCATTGATGGCTATTGATTGGTTATTGATGGTTATTGATTATTGATGGTTTATCATCATTTTTCCCTTCCGCAGACGTCCTGGAACCACGCAAGATCAACTGAACGAAGCGAGCCGCTTGAAATAGCCATATTTTGGGGTATACCGCATGCCCCATTTTCAGACAAACCTCAAATATCATACTGGTTCTATATCCTATTGCATCCCAATTAAACACCCATTCAATCCACCATTAACTATGGTTATTTCCCCACTTCAACGATATCTGCATGAGCCAGAAACTGTGTCCTCCTCAATGCCTCCAGCAGTAGTGATCATGACCTGCATGGGCCCAGGATGAGCCGTGCTGGGAACATCTACCATGTTTTGACCACATGTGAGATGGTACAAGAAAAAAGCCAAAGGCAGAAAGTTGTGAACTCCGATCTGCAAATACTGGTAAATCACTGTAAATCTCTATGTGTTTGAGGCTTACTATACCCTAAAAACGGGTGCTGAAAGTGGACCGACATCTGTGGTGCTGAAATGGGTCTTGCTGGCGTGGCATTGATGGCCTTTGTTGGTATTGCTGCACGCCTCCGTTGCTTGACTGCATTGAAAGGAAGACCACAAGAGTTGCCACAAAACACACCATCTGTTCACATCTTGGGACTCAAAAACCTGAGTCCAAAAGATCACATCAGTGACATCAGCTTCTTTTTAACTCCGGATGTCGCCACTGAAACCGCATCGTCACATGTCGCTCAGCGTTGGCCCTTCTCAATTGCCCTGATGCGGCTAATCAGCACAGCCGACCTCGGAGCTTGGTTCAAAAAATCTCTGGCTACCCTCCAGTAAACACCAGTAAACATCATTAAACACCAGTAAACATCATTAAACACCAGTAAACATCAGTAAACATCAGTAAACATCAGTAAACTACCACAAAGATGGAACATCATGGATCATTTTTCCGAGAACACCCTGGGATTTCCCGTTTCCGTTTTTTCGGGTTGGGATTTCGTGTACCAGAGATGGGATTTTCACACCAACTGCAACTCGTGGGAGACATCTATGTGGCATTGTTGATGAACCGGAAACATTGGGAAACCGGAAATCCTGATTTTCCCATTAAAAATGGTGATTTTCCCATTAAAAATGGTGATTTTCCCATTAAATGGCTGATGTTTGTTGATGTTCAAAACCGCGGTTAATCACCATGACCACCATGGAGTTCAACTGGCTTTTTCAGGTTTTTTGACCATGGCTTTTGACTCAAAAATCCCCGTCCAAGTCGCGGATTGCGGCAGTTCACCATCTCCTCTTCCATGACCCGCGTCTGTACCTCCGGTTGTGCGTTCCTGCGCGATCCGCGGCGATATTGAGTAACATTTGTCCACAGTAATTATCGTATTATATATATATATATAAAATCTTGAGTTATAGTTTCTATAATATGATATTATTCCAAGTATAGAAATAATGTTATCTAATAGAATATCATGACAGTATTGTAAAATAGCACCTTTTTAGTATAAGACTATTATATCAAATATAGTAATACCATCTGGATGATGGCTAGTACAGATATAATAGAGAATAGCCATTAATATAATAGA